CCCCCCCCCCCCGCTGCGGGGGCGGGGGGGGGGGGGGGGGGGGGGGGGGGCAAAGCAGAGCAAAGCAGAGCCAAGCCGCGGAGCACGTGGGTAGCGGACAGCCCTGTCCGCTGCCCACGTGTTCCGCCGCTTTGCTTCCTCTCCCTGGTCTGCTGGAGACCAGGGAGAGGAAGGGCCCCGTTCGTAACTGTGGATCCGACATAAGTCGGATCCGCGTAACTCGGGGACTACCTGTACTGTTCAATACTGCTGAGAGGTCAGATTGTACAACAGCAGGCTCCATAGCTCTCACAATTAGGAAAAAAGGGAGGAGGAGTGTGTATGTTTTTTCTAATCAGTCCTTACAACTGTAGACCTACTACTGTTACAGATGCACATGGTAAAGCACCAGGCATGTCCTGTAACATGTTCAATACAGTAATTCCTCACTGAACACTATAGGTGTGTTTCTGAAAATGTTCATGCTAAGCAAAAATGTGCTATCTGGGGTCAATTTTCCAATTAAAAATAATGGAAAAGGTGGGGGTTGTGTTTCAGGTGGTGGTGGCAAAGTCAATTTTTTATTGGTGCTGGGTTGTCAATGTCAACATTAGATATCAAGCAACACAAGTCGCCAGGGCTTGTTAAAACACAGACAAAAACATGAGTGAGCAGAGGAGTGCTGTGACCATGTGTATTCATCCACTAATGCATATTACCACTGTTTTCACCAACTTATACCGCCACGCAAAGTAGTCCGCCACTTGGTTATTTTCGTGTTTTTCAGGGACGGTCGTGTTATTCGAAAAACATTCCCTAAAAGAAAATCGTGTTATTGCGAAAATGTGTTAAGTGGGCACATGTTAAATGAGTAATTATTGTATGTGCTCCCACCACTTTGTATCCTGACTTTCTAGTTATCCAGAAGGTGCCAGCTACAAGAGACATTTTCTCAGTGACACTTAAAGCCTTATAATCAGGGTCGCTTGTAAGCTGTGAAATGGGTTTTTCCATTATTAAAGGTCAGTGAAAGTAGTTTCAGGCCACTGGTGGATTATTTTCTGCTAAAGGATCCAGCCCTTTAAGAAGCATTTTTTTTCTGATTCCAAGCAGAGGAAGAAACTTTCTGGCCTGCTACAGTCAGCGTGCAAGTCTTGCACAATCATTATGCAAAATAACTGCTGATAAAGCTGTGCTGAGTTTCATAGCAGTGACAGTTATGTGGATCCTGCTATCAGACTTAATAGGAGCCCTGTATTATTCATCCATTTTTAGCAAAATCAAAAACTCAGCTATTAATCTGATTAACAGAGGAGGAAACAAGTCAGATGCTTCCTCTCTCACATTGCATAAAGTGCAACTATTTAGCTACATACCTGCTATAGTGTATCAGACCATCTAGTCCAGTATCCTGACTGAGGGGGCCCAGTGCCAGAAGATGATGCAAGAACTCCATGAGGCTATTGGGGAATAATCTGCCCCTCAACATGAGGTCTCAGCCTGGTCGCTAATAAAGCCCTTCCAAGACTCCGTATGATACTTGTAATATTCTTGAGAGGCACACTTTAATTGCCACTGAAGGTATGAGCCAAAGTAAACAGTATGTTTATTACCATTTAATAGTCTTCTATACAGGCAAAGCAGCAGTACCCAACATGCAAAGCAATTTAAAGTCATGGGATTCAAATGAGATCACTTACAGATCAGCTTTAGCAAGTAACCGCTTGTTCATAACAGTGCCAACAGTAAAACATGTAGATGCAATTCTAAGAGCCTCTCTCTTAATACTGCTGTTTTAGATCACGTCCCAGTGACTCAATGCCTTCATTGCAAGTGTCAAACCAACACCTGACAGGAGAGGGTGGAGTGGTAACTGATTTTGTCTTTTAATAGAAGTCAAGTCATTGATTGGATCATAAAGCCTGCTAGAAGAGACCCACACTTGGAAGCCAGCTTGAGAACGTGCATCTCTGCTGGAAAAGTCTATGTGCTCCTGAGAAATGAGCTGGTAAAGAAGAATAGGAGATGAATCTAGGATATTTTGCTGCAGGTTATCTGGGATGCCCATTTCAAACTCACTCCACAGTTGGGATAGGTTTCCAAGGCAAGTGGCTGATGCTTGTAGCTTAAAGATTCCAAGAGGGTAGAAGTCTCTGCAAACTTGATTAGAAGTTGATGTCCCCACTAAGAGGTGCCAGGCCTGGATCATCCTCAGATAGTAAATGAAACACCCCCAGGCAGTTTGTTTGAAAATAACTTATGTCCTCCTGCACCTCTTCCTTTGGCACGCCTCTGCATCTGATCCACAGGAACTATCAGAGTCGCTTCCAGACAAGGAGGAAGAGGAGGTGGAAGGCTTCAACGTGCTACAGTTCATACTCAGCACCCAGCCTAGTTTGTTGTGTAGAACTTGCTTGAGTCCGGGGGGCAGAGGCAGCACTTCCAGTGTATCTACATAGTTGGGCAACAGCTGGCGGAGGCGATAGCAGCAGAGATACTGGAGGGATGTGTAGCTGGTGCATGAGCGGATCACTTTCATGCTGCTTTTGGCTGCAGTGGAGCACACCATGGGGTAGAATTTCTTGTTCTGCAGTTTGGTAGCTGCAACTCCTGAGAGGAAATACAATCAAAGAAGCCAAGGCACAATTAGATAATTGCCTATATTGCAGAGACAGTTCGGAGGATACCCTGTGATCAGAACTGTTAGACTATAAATATACAGGCCTACCTGTAATAAGAATGTAGATGTTTTATCATCATCTAGCTAGTTACAGAGGTATAAAATAATCAAAGTCACAAGTCTGCCTGTGCATGGACCTTCTCTCAGTGTAACAGTCTAAGGCCTTATTCTTTGGCTAAGCAGCACAGGGAAGCCATAAACTGGGAAGTGTATGGTCACATCTTCACATTCCAAACCAGTCACATTGAAATACAGTAAAATTAGACTGTTGTTAAGGTAATCCAATCTTACAGCTCCAGATAAAGGAAAGATCCTCGATTTTAAAAGAAAATTTAGTATTTGTGTCTGGAAAGAACGCACTTAATTGTGATTGTGAAACCCTTGTTTATTGTTTTGTCTTTAAGGTCTCTAGTTTTCTATTGCTAATCTGTATGGTCTCTGGTTCACTAACTGTTTGCTGTGGACTTAATTTTAATGGATGTAGATCTGGCAAGGTGGTAGGATATAATTGGTCAGAGAATTAGATTACATTATTTTAGGCTTGGTTAGTAAAGTTTCAGTAAAATGATTGGTTACAGTATAGCTAAGTACAGGCCTACAAACAGGGGAACAAAGGGGACAACTGCCCTGGGACTTGAAGGTTTTGGCCACCTTCCCTGCTACTGCGGCAGCGACAATGTCTGGAGCTCCAGGCCCCATAAGCAGCCACTTGCAGCAGTGCGTTGCATGCTCTGGGCAGCTTTGAGGGATGTTGGGTGGGGGGCGCCGTGCACTGGGCAATTTAGAAGGCTGGTTACAAGAGCAGAGCTACCCCCGACACCTTGCCCAAGGGTCCATGAAGGCTGTTGGTGCCCTTGGCTAAGCAAAACTCAAGTTTTACTATATAAGCTGAGGTCAAACAAAGTAAGGAAAGGAAACCGAAATCATGTTTGTTAAAGAAGTGGGGGAGGTGGGGACTACAGGGAACGAGGAACAGGGACACAGACAAAGAACGGAGAAGGGGACAGAGGGTAAACACACTGCAGTCTCAGAGTTGGGGGCGGAACACAGGGAATGGACTCTTGGCATACAGAGCAGCCTAACTGGTGTGAAGTGCTTTGGGATCATGTTTGCTGGAAATTAACGCCAATGAACATTGCATTGTCTGCACTTCAGACTTCTGTTGCTCAGTCTGCAGGAGAAGAACCAGGAAAGTGGGAGGATGAAGGAAAAAGTCCTCCAATGTTGCCTCTCCCCCACCAAATGTGGGGTCTACAAATTTATGGATAAAGATATGGAGCGCAGGAGATTTTTGAAGTCAGGCCTGTTGAAAGAATGAATGGGTGTTCTAGTAACACCTGCTTCATGCATTTAATCTTCTCTATAGCTTGCCAATCAAGGAAGCCCAGTAACAATCTGATGGCACAGACTTCCAAAAGGTAGCAACTAGCTCAAGTTCCGTGCAAAGGCTCTAGGTTCACTAATTCATACACCCTTCCCTCCCTGGAAGTTTTGGCCCATCACTTTGCTCCTCTGAAGGGTGAGGTTGGCTGGATGAAGGCCACCTTGTTCCAACTCTTACCTATGCATTTCCTGTTTTTGAAGAAAGTGAGAGTTCCATGCCATGTGTCCAAATGAACCCCAATGATGGAGCCTTGGCCAAACCTTGAGGAGAAGTTCATTTTATCTCCCTTATGGTGAAGTAGTCCTTAAACAGACAGCAGATTAAGAAGCAATCCTACACTCCTTAAATCCATCTTATTTTCCATTTGTTGCATAGACTGAAGTAATCAACCATTCAGAAACAAAAACAAAAACCTTTAGATTTTCCCCCATGACTCCCATTTGCTGCCCCCATCCGAAACCATGTGAAGGGTCCCTGGCAGCTCAGGAGACAGCCAAGAGTGGACTATACTCCTGTCTCTATACCCAGGGTCAAGTATAGGCCAAATGTATTAAAAGACAAAGTTGTGGTCCCTCTGCAGCAGGACAGCCTATATGCAATGAGCTAAAGCTGGGGGGAGGAAGCCTCACTGGCTGTCTCAGCAGTTGAGCAAATACAGAACAACAGAGACTGAACTTCCTTTATTAGGTGGAAGCACTTCTAATGGGGGGGAGAGTTTATACCAGGCATGGGAATCCAGCCTGCCAAGTGGATTGATCTAGCCTGTGGCCACCTGGCCACTCCCCTGCTCCCAGGTCTCACAAAGTAATTCGCTCAAAGCAGCTGGCACCTCACCCCCCACTCCCCAACCAGGAGCACAATGTGCCAACCATTTTGAACAGCAAATGACTTTGCATGCTTCCCGGCCCCCAGTCCCAACTGGGGTGTGAAGGCAAAGTCCCTAGCAGAGGGTGGGGGGACATGTGGGCCCAAAAGGAACCACCCCTTTTTGCCTAAGGCCCCACCCCTTCCAGGGGCAGAGACAGCTCACAACCACAACCAGCATTTGTGAAGTGGCCTCCCTGCCAAAATTATTACCCACCCGTGGTTTATACTGTTATCTGTAGAGGAGGTGGGACATGGACAAAGTTCAGCCTCTAGGTTAGACTATGTACCCTGTTAAGTGAGTTACTTCACTATATAAAAGATGTTTTAAATGACAGATGCAATCCTGATGGGAAATACAGCAACACTGGCAATAGGCATGGATCTTCTCCACCACTCCAACAGAAGGCTGGCTGTGGGCAGCAGTTTCAGCTGAAGTCCATTAGGAATATCAGAGCAAATTCACAGTCCAGGTGATCATTTCAGTATAAATCCCATCCATGAAAGCACTTCCACAATTGCTAGGATTAGGTTTCCTCATAGCCACGAACCTTTCCCATAAACACTAGACTACATTACCTGTGTAGGAGAGTCCCCAGCTGTCTTCATCCTTGCCCAGCAGGCTACAGAATGTGTGGCGGTACTTGTCGAGATTCACATCTGAAGTCCCAATTCCCACCATCTGGATGGAGGTAGCCCATGCCAAAGGAGAACATAAGGTCCTAGTTTCTGCCATGGAACCACTCAGGGCTTTAAGCGCATCATAGCCATTTTGGTCTCTCCCTCGGCTACTTTTATTAGCATGTCCCAACAGCTTCCATAAAAAGTTCTGGGCAAGTTACAGCTTTAGTCCTGCATTCTAGAAATTTACTATTTCTCTGATAGAAGCAGGCAAAGCAGGGGATGGTCACAACAAAAGAGTCAGAACTCCAACAGGGGAAGAAAAATGGTGATTGTTAGCTAAATAGTAGCTTTTTTATCTAAACTGTCCAATGCTGTTCCAGCATTTATCATATGCTAGGATTAGTCAGAAAACCGTGCATCTCTGACTGGGTAGGAATCGGGAGTTTCTCTACATTTCTGTCATTTCATGCACTGTGCAGCTGGGCCCATCTCTCTATTTTGTCATGCTTAGATCACCGCTGGTGAACCAGTGTTCCCTCACATTTTTTGTGTCAATGTGCAGAATGACTTTTGCTATGTGATATATCACCTCCATGTTGGTGCACATAACAAAAGTCATTATGCACACAGTGTGTAGTTTGGGTGGAGCCAAGGGGTTGGGATGAGGGCTCTATATGGAGGTTGTGGGGGGGTTCCAGGGTAGGGCAGGCAGTTGGCTGAGGGGGGAGGGTGTGGGCTCTTGCAGGGGGCTGAGGATAAGTGGCTTAGGATGCAGGAGAGGGCTCCAGACTGAGGGGTTAAGGCCAAGGGATTCAGAATACAGGAGGGGACTGCAGGTTGAGGCAGGGGGGTTGTGGTGTAGGAAGGGCTCCAGGTTTGGGGAGGGGCTTTGGGCTGGGGTATAGGAGGCAATACAGGCTCTAGGCTGGGAGAGTGAGCTTTGGGTGGGGCCGGGAATGAGATTTTGGGGTGCAAGTAGCAGCTCTGGCTTTAGGAGGGCTCAAGGTGGGGGTTGGGGCTTGGGTTTACATTGGAAGCTCTTGGTCAGTGGCACTAAGACAAGCAGTCTGGTGCCTGCCTATCCTAGGACACAGCACTACGCCCTGGAGAAGCCAGCAGGTCCATCTACTGGGAAGGCAGCACAAGGTTGCCAGGTGCACTGCTCTCACCCAGTCAGCACTAACTCAGTGCTGCCCCCAGCTCCTATTGGCCAGGAACCAGTAAACAAGAGTGCAGAGCTGGTGCTCAGCATGGGGAGCCCTTTGACTGGCTCTTCCCCCTTAGAAGCCACACTTGCTGCTGGCCACTTCTCTGCCAGCCCAGCACAGAGTTGCCCCAGCTGCAGCAGTTCCTTGCTGGGGCTGGCAGGGAGAGATGCCTCTCCCCCAGCTGTGGCAGCTTCAGGGCTTGGGGAGAAGCATCTCTCCCTGCTGCAGCCTTGAGCCCCTGCTTGAGGCTTTAATAGGAAGCTGCGCGGCTGCTTAAAGGGAATTTAGCTGATGACCTACAAATAACAACGTAACAAAAGGGAAGATAGAGAGGCAGAATATGGCCCCTATACATCACAACTGGCTCTGAGATCTCAAGTGAGTCACTTCAATTAGAGTGAACCAGAAAAGTTAAGTTTTTAGGCTCAATATAGGAGTATCACAGTGAAACTGAATGGCCTATGTTACGCAGGCCAGAGCAGAGCTAATTAATGATCCCCTTCAAGCATTAAACTGTTAGTTTCCCTGCCTGATAATTGGGGAGGAGTCCAGTTTTCATGAAGTACACAGAGATATTGAGGTGGTGTGCTATCAAGTACAGTTCTGTTGAAAAAACGTATCTCTGTGTACCTGTTTGTTCCTAAATAAGTCAGTTCAACATACCATGTCAGTGCCATAGACTGGAGAGGTCATCTTGATCTCCCAGAAGTGCTGGCCCTCTGCCAGCTCCTTGTTCCCACGGATAGCAGCAGTGCCACAGCTATACTCCATGTGGAAGTTCACTTTGCGGTTGTCACAGGTCAGGAGTGTTGCAGTTGATTTATTCATGTCATCCCACACCCACTCAAAGTCTGTTGAGAAAGAAGACAACATTTTTAGGAGGTAGGGCTATATGAGACTGCACAAATCCAGAAATGTAACAGTTTAACAGCCTTTACCATTTTTATAGTCTAGCAGGCTAAACAGCAAGGTGGGTTTGTTGAATACTCAGCTTGTTAATGCCCCAGACCTTCTTGCTGTATTCTAGGGATGTCATGTTAATGTGGTTCATCCTTCTTAACCATGTCTGCCAACATCAAACAGTGGCTCTTGTTTTGGTGTGACACCAAAGCTCAAATGTGTAAGCATCTTAGTCTTAGGTAACTGCAATTACATATGACTATCCTGTACATTACTGCTGTCAGTTATCATGTGAAGTTGGACCAGAGGCCAGGCCACAAATAAAACACTGAGGGCAGCATTACTCTGTATTACAAACCACAAAAGTCACAGCATTGTCACTCTGAAAGATGGGCAGGAAATGACCTGATGAGGTCTAATCTGGGAGAATGAGAATTTAAGACGCTTCTAGAGCTTCCTTGAATCTTTGAGAATCCCATCTTTATTTCCTTTAGGCTCATGAAATTACAGCCAGAGTCCAAGCAGTGTGCAGGCTTCTCATTCTTGATATATGAACCCCCATCATCTGGACAGACCCAGATTTTAGCTAGCTCTTAATGCACAGCAAGCCTCATCTGCTATACTCCTTACTACCTTACCAGTTTTCTAATTGTACTGAATTGTAATGAGGATCAAAGTTAGCATACATACCCTGTCCCACAGTTCAGCCTATGGGTGTGTGAACAGCAGTGCACACTGGATTATATTAGTGTGAATTATGAATCATTTACTTTGTACCTGCAGCATACACATGGGGGAGTTACATGAAGTGTAGCACATTGGTGTGCACTGCTATTTACATCCCAGAAGTTCACAGTAGAGCAGAGTGGACGCACCCTGGGATGCAACCATGAAGTTCAGTTTCTCTTATGGCCTAATCTGGATTTTAAACCAGGTCCCCACAGGCAAGATCTGGTGCACTAGCATATTCAGAGTTTAGCCAGTGAATCACACAAGATATAATATACTGATTACCTTCCCATTTTCCCTATGGAGCATGTCATCAGAATGAACAGCACCCATGCAAAATTAACACATTGTATTTTCCACTCTAAGAATGCAGTAATGGTCCTCACCATTTTGTACAGATGAGCAGGGCACCATTACCTCTATCTGGATGGGATCCCAAAAGTTACAAGCAAAGAGAAAACAACACAGTTCAAACCCCAGGGGAATAGCAAGAGCACTTTACAAGCTGCTTCCTTACACTCATCTTCTTCTCCGCACTGGCAGTCCTTCACCCGATGGATAGTATGCAGGCTGGAGCAGTAGGGAGTCTCATTCTGGTTCTCACAGTTGCAGTAGGACTCTCCTGTCACAGGGATGGCACTGGGAATGGATGGTGAGAGGGAAGGAAACTCTGGTTCAGAGTCAGAGTCACTGTGCTGCCAAGGAAAAGCAGAGGGATACCATCAGAAAGCTAAAGTTTGAGAGGCATCTCAGCTTCAGCAGTGCTTTATAAAGCCATGTCTTTGTAATTATTTCAGTAATACTTAAAGGTCCCAGGAGACACATGCCCAAAAGAGCCTACACTGTGTAGGCTACACAGATGAGTTGATGGAGAAGGATGCAAAGTTCAAGCGAAGTGGAGGATGACTACAAGCACACCGCATTCAAGATCTCGATTTTAAACCACTGATGCTATTTAGGGATGTTTGAGGTGCAAAGGAGGAAACTATAGGAGTGGAGAAAAAGGACAGACACAGGGTAGAGAAAGAGTTGGGAAGCTGAGTTGGGAAACACTGCAGGGTTTTTGCGCAAGAAGCCTTTTGCAAAAGAGTTCTTCTGCAAAAACTTCTTGCAGAAAAGCGTGTCCACTCCTCAAAAGCACATCGCAAAAGCAATGTGCTTTTGCACAAAAGAGCGTCCATACTGCATGGACTCTCTTGCACAAGAAAGTTCTGATGGCCAATCACAGAATGGCCATTAGAGCACCCATAAGCTTTTTGTAATAGGCTCTTTTTGCGCAAGAAACCTCTGTTGAGCATCCACACACACCTTTTTGCACAAGAACTCTTGTGCAAAAAGGCGTTATGCCTTGTAGAAGGAGGTATACCTTCACCGCAAAAAGCCCTCTGTTCTGTCGATTGACTGGAGATTTTCTTGCGCAAAGACACGCTTGAGGTGTGGACGCTCCACTGGTTTTTGCGCAAAAACCCTGTAGCATAGACATAGCCTAAGGTATTGACATAGAAGAAAGGGCTGGGATGATACTAACTAGTAATACAGCAAGCAGGGAGGGGGGGAAGTAGACTGCATATCAGGAGCGAGGGAATAGTGGATCAAGCAGTAACTTCTGCTGTTCCTCATGTGGAAGAGAGGGTGGCACTCCATACAGGTCTGTGTCCTAGGGGCCAGATGATTGGAGGGCTTTATACTTAAGACCTTTTCATTAAAAGGTTTTTGCTTAGAGTGGTGTATGAGAACAGAAGACATTTAGTTTCAATAGCACCTAACATTATTATCCCTATATGCCAGTAGATCAAACAGCTAAACATAAATCAGTGGTTCTCAACTTATCATAATGTGTTACCTAGGCCAAAGGTTAAGAGCCACAGCAACCCCCATCCTCCCTTACAAACCCCTCTCCCCAGCACCACCCACTCAGAGACCCCTCCACACAGTGAGGCCCAGAACAGAGGAGTGGGTGGGGAGCCAGGCAGCAGGAACCCTGGACCCTATCATGTAGTGACACGACCCTAACTCGGGACCTAGTCATGTGGGGCCAACCAGCTGCTCACAATCCTGCCTCCTTGCCAGAAACCTAGACCTTGCTGCACTAGCAGCCTTTAGCACACAGATGGGATGCAGCTATGTGCTCACTGGGCCAAATACAGCACCCACACTGAGAACTACTGTCCTAAATGGATTTATTTTGCACAGTATTTGTATGTAATAGAAGGTGCAGGGCCACACTCTAATCTCAAATGACTTTAGTAAGGGACTCTAGATTTACACTGGCATTAGATATTTAGCCTGTTGTTTCCCATTAGCACACAGATGGGATGCAGCTATGTGCTCACTGGGCCAAATACAGCACCCACACTGAGAACTACTGTCCTAAATGGATTTATTTTGCACAGTATTTGTATGTAATAGAAGGTGCAGGGCCACACTCTAATCTCAAATGACTTTAGTAAGGGACTCTAGATTTACACTGGCATTAGATATTTAGCCTGTTGTTTCCCATGACAGCAAAGTGAACAGCTACAAGGACATTTGGATATTCTTGGATTGTGTGCGACTCTGGGTCATCTGTGCATAGTCCATCCCAGAGCTTTCCTCTCCTTTGTAGATTTCCAAGATATTGGCCTGAACATCAAAACAGATAAATTTCTGCTGTTTATCTTCTCCTCTTTCCCATCCACAGAATTGAGCTTGCAGAATTTAGAGAGAACATTACCACTGTAGAAACATTAAGCCACTCTGACAGGACTAATGGTAAAAGGGATTATACATGGTCCCTCAGAATTCTGGACCAATTAGGTGTCTGAGCCAGGTTTACTTTCATACCAATTTGTAACTTGCAAGAGAGTTTAGCCTGTATACCTAGGAGATGGGTGAAAGCAAGCTGGAGGAAGTCAATCGCTATTTTAATTTATACCGTCTTACATGATTGTACTTCATTTCCTACTTTTATATCAATTTATACCCAGTGAGCCAAGTTCAGCAATGGTGTGACAAGGGGACCTGTAAATTACAATCTGGTAATTGGGTGAGAGTCCAACATACATACATCTTGGAGAAAAAATTAATTTGCATTAGTTTAGATGTCTATAAGATTAGGCTACTGGCCTCTTGTCCGAATGTGGCCTATTGTGCATGCTATTGTCAGAGGGAACAACAGACTTACTGGGCCCCTGGACAAGGTGGGAGTACAGGTGCAGTGTTCCTGTAAAGGGTGGAGCCTCAGGAAAAAAGGGCAGATTTCCCCTCCCTCCATAGCAGCCCTAAGATCCACCCAAAGCATCCCACTTGTACTCTGGCAGTGATTTAAAGGGCCTGGGGATCTGGCTGCCACTGTTCCTGCTGCTGCCACTGCCGCAGCTGCAGCAACAGGGAACCCAGAGTCCTTTTGAAATCAGAGGGCCCCAGGGCACCTGCCCCCTTTGTTCCTCCTCCCTTTTTGTGGGCCTGGTATTGCCACACAGTACACCTAGCCCTCAAGCCATTAGACACCTGCATGCTGGGGTGGGGGGGAGGTTTCCTTAATGGATGTTTAAAAATAATTTCTTTTAAAGCACATTTTAACTTTGTAAGTCTTAATATTCTAACCTACCTGCCCATCAGAGTCATAGCCCCATCCACGGGCTCCAGAGGCCAAAGCCACTGCCCGTGCATCTGCATCCCGGCGTATCCCACTCAGGACAAAGTGCCAGGCTCTGCTGTTGCGTGGGCGTCGTGCCATGGTGTTTTGAGCCAAATAATCTGCAAAATAGGAAGGGAAGAAAATAAAGATAACCCAGAGCAGCAGAGTCAATTGGGTACCACCTCCTTCCAGCAAAAGACTTCCTCAATTCCTTGAGCTGTCATCGTGCTATACCCCTTCCCCTGACTACCTTGTGACTAGTTAGTCAGATCAAACCTGGGCCTTCACCATGGCCTCATGGAACTCATGGACTACTCTCTGACTAGAATAGTAAGACACACATCTTTCACAGCATGGGCAATGTTACACTTGTTTGGCCAGCAAGGACTGCTGCTGAGAAACAGAAGCATAAACCTACAGGACTAAGCTCATCACCTGTGCAGAACCCCAGCCCAAATTAACTGAAAGAAATACCAGGACCTACTTCATTTTGAATCCAGCATGTTGAACCTTGTAACCAGAAACACTCAAGGAGCACAAAGGACAGACAGTGACACTCTGCACACCGCCATTGAAGGGAGAACTGCTAGTGCACAAGCCACATAACTATCCCACAATTGCCCTGAAGAATGATGAAGATCAACAATAATTGGCATACGCAGGCTCCTGTGGGTTCAGTGACTTCACTGTGCATAACCAAGTTCTAATGCTACACTGTCCCATTTATAGCTGCCCATAGCATTTCCTCTTGGCTCTATGTCACTACACAAGGTGATGTGTGTGCATTTGTCTGCTCATCATTGACTGACTGACCATAACGGGTTTGGTTCTGGCAGTAAGAAGATTGGAGCAACTTCAGAAGAAACTTTGCTCTCTGTAGTGGACAGAGGGATAGCTCAGTGGTTTGAGCATTGGCCTGCTAAACCCAGGGTTGTGAGCTCAATCCTTGAGGGGGCCCATTTAGGGATCTGAGACAGAAAAATCTGTTAGGGATGGTACTTGGTCCTGCTGTGAAGGCTGGGGACTGGACTCGATGACCTTTCAAGGTCCCTTCCAGTTCTAGGAGATAAGCATCTCCATTCATTTCATTTCTCCAGTTGGGGAGGATTGGGTGTGGCAGGAGAAGATAGACAAAAGTCTTGCTGTGCTGGGACAATAATCTTTTCATCAACTTGTCCCAACTTGCCTCAAGAACAGCAGAGAGAAGCAAATAGCTTCTTGTGTGTTTCTTACGCCCTAAGATACAGCTGGCTATGACTGTCCACCCTAACCTCCCCAGAACTCGGTCAATGTAAACTATGCAAACAGCGTAGCTGAAGTCAATGTACTTACTGTGGAATCTTCTGCATGGTAAGATCTCCTGTCGACTCTGGCTACTCTTCTTATCCTGGTGGAGTATCAGAGTTGACTGAAGAGCACTTGGAGATTGATTTATCGCATCTCAGCAGATGCGATAAATTGACTGCTGGTGGATCGACTGCTGCAGCCTCAATCCACCGAGTAGTGAAAACAAGCCCTCAAAGTCCACATTTCGGGAGGTTCTATTTCCCCAAGAAATACCAGAACAAGTTTCTAACTATTATAACAAAAACTCACAAAAAGAAACAAAAGAGCCAATTTTTGCTGTTCAACCCTTTCCTTTTTCTCCTAGAATGTTCCTTTAATACAGGGGTGGGGAATCTTTTTTTGGGCTGAGGCTGCTGACCCACAGAAAAAAAATCAGTCAGGGGCTGTACCCAAGTGAGAAAAAAACCTCCACCAAAATCTTAACCCTCACTGACATGGCCCCCCACCTGAGAAGGAGAAGAAGGACACTCCACACATTCCCCTGGCACACCAGAGCCTAGGGGAGCCTGGGCCAATATATTTTGTGTGCTTCAGCCCCGTGGGAGGATGGCTGGGAGGAGGGGGGCTGAAGCACCCCCAATGCTGGGGGGGAGCCCTGAGCCTTGGGGACTGGATCCAGGCAAGCTGGGGGCCACATCCAGCTCCTGGGCCATAGGTTCCCCACCCCTGCTTTAGCATGTCACACACACACAAAACTCCTCCTTGGCTCTTTCTATGGAGTTCCACATGTCTTTCAACCATCCTTTCGGTTCATATGTAGGCCCCTACCAAATTTATGGGCCATACTGGTAAATTTCACAGTCATAGGATATTTAAAATGGTAAGTTTCATTATTTCAGCTATTCAAATCTCACACATGGCACATGAGGGTAACAAGGTTATTGTAGGGGGACTGCAGTACTGATACATTTATTTCTGTTGGTGGTGCTGTCTTTAAGCTAGACAGCTGGAGATTAGCAGCTACTGGCCAGGAGCCCAGGTCTCAAGGCAGAACGGTCACCAGAGCAGCAGTGCAGGAGTAAGGATAGCATGGTATGGTATTGTCACCTTTATGTCTGCACTGCTTCCTGCAGAGCTGGGCCTTCAAATAGCAGCCACTGGTGTTTGGCTGCCCAGTTCTAAAGTCAGTGCAAAAATAAGGGTGGATATACCATACCCCCTCTAAAATAACCCTGGAACCCTGGTGCAACTTCCTTTTTTTGTTAGGGCCCCCCTTCGAGAAATGCTGGTTCCCCTCCCCTGCCCCGGGAACCTTTAGTATAAGGTAAAAACACACAAGAGACCAGGGAGAATGGTCTCCCTGGCTTATGAAGTTCCTAGCTGTCTTTTGCTAATGAAATAAAAAGGCATTGCCCTACGCCTGCTACTTGTCACTTACCATCCTCTCCCATCCCAAATCTAACAGAAAGATCCCTCTCAGTCTTTAACACAACTGTGGACAGGGGGATACCTGCATCTTGTACTGCCACAGACTCATCAGTTTAGAGTAAGAAACAAGGAATAACGAAAAATAAGTGGTATTTACCTAAATGGTATACAACATACATCAGATTCATTTGATTTCCTATCCTTCCCTAGGACCCATTGGGACTGGGACTTTTTGCTGGGCGATCTGTGCCCAGGGCTCACCGTTTGTGACTGGGCACACACACAGTGCCTCCTGTCCTCAAGATTGGATCTTGATACCCCAAGAGGCACCATCCTACCTCCTGCCGCCAGCTGCACTGCCATTTGCACTCCAGTCCTCTCCCACGATGGGCTTGATCCTTACTTGTCTTTTCCATTTTTTCCCTCCCCCAGAGCTCCATGCCTGGCCAAGGGTGGAGTGCCAGGGCAGGAGCTGCCTTGGGCCACAAGAGCCCCCTCGCCATATCCTCCATGGATGGGCAGGGAATGGAGGGGGTGGGAGCTAAGGAGGCAGCACAGGCCAAGGAACATGCTGGCCACTGCATCCTGCCACTCCCCTTGGGGAGTGGGTCTGTAAAATGTGAACAGATTGAAAAGGGGTCCATATGCTCGAAAAGGTTGGGAACCACTGTTTCAGATTCTTCATCAGCCTTTGATACCACCAACCCCTGTAAGGACAGCAGTTGCCCCATTTGCCTGAGAGGGCCCAGATGACAGCACACAGATTGCTCCTTCACTCTAAAGCAGTAGTCTTCAACCTTTTCGAGCATATGGACCCCTTTTCAACCTGTTCACATTTTACAGACCATTTTTAAGCACAAGTTCACTTTTTGAATTTAAGTGCAATCCAGGATCTACTTCAAACCCAAATACCCTTGCCCCGCCTCCTTTGTTTCACACATACAGAATGGGAAGCGAATGGGAATCTAACCTCTTAAATATCTCCAGAGATGGCGATTCCACAACCTCCCTGGGCAATTTATTCCAGTGTTTGACTACCCTGACAGTTAGGAACTTTTTCCTAATGTCCAACCTAAACCTCCCTTGCTGCAGTTTAAGCCCATTGCTTCTTGTTCTATCCTCAGAGGCCAAGATGAACAAGTTTTCTCCCTCCTCCTTATGACACCCTTTTAGATACCTGAAAACTGCTATCATGTCCCCCCTCAATCTTCTCTTTTGCAAACTAAACAAACCCAATTCTGTCAGACTTCCTTCATAGGTCATGATCTCTAGACCTTTAATCATTCTTGTTGCTCTTCTCTGGACCCTCTCCAATTTCTCCACATCTTTCTTGAAATGCGGTGCCCAGAACTGGACACAATACTCCAACTGAGGCCTAACCAGCGCAGAGTAGAACGGAAGAATGACTCCTTATGTCTTGCTCACAACACGCCTGTTAATGCATCCTAGAATCATGTTTGCTTTTTTTGCAACAGCATCACACTGCTGACTCATATTCAGATTGTGGTCCACTATAACCCCTAGATCCCTTTCTGCCGTACTCCTTCCTAGGCAGTCACTTCCAATTTTGTATGTGTGAAACTGATTATTCCTTCCTAAGTGGAGCACTTTGCATTTGTCTTTATTATACTTCATCCTGTTTACCTCTGACCATTTCTCCAATTTGTCCACATCATTTTGAATTATGACCCTATTCTCCAGAGCAGTTGCAACCCCCCTCCCCCAGCTTGGTATCATCTGCAAACTTAATAAGTGTACTTTCAATGCCAATATCTAAATTGTTGATGACGATATTGAACAGAGCCGGTCCCAAAACAGACCCCTGCGGAACCCCACTTGTTATACCTTTCCAGCAGGATTGTGAACCATTAATAACTACTCTCTGAGTACAGTTATCCAGCCAGTTATGCACCCATCTTATAGTAGCCCCATCTAAGTTGTATTTGCCTAGTTTATTGATAAGAATATCATGCAAGACTGTATCAAACGCCTTACTAAAGTCTAGGTATACCACATCCACTGCTTCTCTCTTATCCACAAGACTCATTATCCTATCAAAGAAAGCTATCAGATTGGTTTGACATGATTTGTTCTTTACAAATCCATTCTGGCTGTTCTCTATCACCTTGCCACCTTCCAAGTGTTTGCAGATGATTTCCTTAATTACTTGCTCCATTATCTTCCCTGGGATATAAATTAAACTAACTGGTCTGTAGTTTCCTGGGTTGTTCTTATTTCCCTTTTCATAAATGGGCACTATATTTGCCCTTTTCCAGTCTTCTGGAATCTCTCCTGTCTCCCATGATTTTCCAAAGATGATAGCTAGAGGCTCAGATACCTCCTCGATCAGCTCCTTGAAGAGAGATACTAGTAAGGCTAGACAGCCAATAACCCAGAGACTTGGATTTAATCCATGAGTGAGGGAGAATCAAAGAGGCACTACACCACAGGGAGATAGACAACATTACTAGTGTGACATGATACTCCTTAGGGAAGGACCCTAATCCGGCCTAACTACTTCTAGTAAAAGAGACTAGAACAGTATTTGTAAAGATACTGGGTAATACAATGTATTTCCAGCCACTACATAAAAAGCTACATAAAGAGAGAAATAGGAATAATTTAAGGAGTCTGAGGAAACAGAAAAGAACAGGAACACACACAAGAGAGATAAAGGTTAATATAAACTCAATAGTGGCTATACTCAATCATCTATATGGGGGGGGGGGGAAAAAAGGTTTAAAGATGCAGTCACACATTACCCCAAGACAGTGGTACTGCCACAAGCCAGATGATGCATCATCACAGATATTTGGGGCAGTAAAAGGGCCAAGGAAGCCTAGATTGGTTCCAACATTCCAAAGCCCAGCAGTACCAGTTTCAGGTCTATGTGGCACTTGATTGGCAGATAAATAAAGAGTGCCAGCATCAATGTAATATGATGGTTTCTCAGAGCAATTTACTCAGTAGGTAAGTGACAGAACTACCTTGTCAGGAAGGAATTAGATCAGGGATGGAGAACAGTTTTTCAGTCAGGCCACTGACCCACAGAAAAATCAGTCGAAGGGCGCACAAAGAAAACCCTCACTGATGTGGCGCTTAACTGAGAAGGAGAAACACACTCCTCACATTCCCCTTGCACACCGGAGCCTAGGGGGGCCCAGCCTAGTAGATTGTGTATGCTCCAGCACTGTGATGGAGCAGCACGGAAGGGGGGGGAGCACCAGCACAGACTCCCCAATGCAGGAGAGAGGGGCCCTGAGCCAGGCAAGCTGGAATTAGAGTAATAGAGCTGTGTAGTCAAGAGAATAGGCAAAACAGCTGCAAGGTCAGCATGTGATAAAGAAACACAACTACAAGAGCCATAACGAAGTCACACAACTTGTAGTGAAGGCAAAAGCTGCAAAGCAACTTTGAGAAAGCGGCCCAAATATGCATGGCCACTAAGGAAGAGAATGCAGCTCAACAACAATGACCCCTTCCACCTAGGTACAAGGATACTGTTCCCTCAGAATTCAGGCAAGGTAGCCACAGGGCTGTAGGTGGCAGAATCAGCCGTTTGTCCAGCCCAAGACTCTAGTTGCAGAATCACTGGAGCACAGGAGGAGTGCAACTGAAGCCTGCATGTTTTAAGAATGAGTTTGCCTTGCACGCTTAGGTACAGACTAGCACTATCGATGGCAACGCTATCCTGCGGCTCTGACACCAGACTCGGCTCCGCGGTGTACAAGGCAGCACGTCAGTCTCAGAGCTCGCACCGGCCACAGTGCAGACTGGCTCCTGTGTGCCGGGCACGGCTAGAAGCAGACCAGCTGCACTCGCCTCAGCTGACCCCTGCTACAAACCCAGCAGGCGCTCGGAGAAGCCGGGGATAACGGACCCGAAGGGGGGCAGGTCTGAAGGCCCAGTCAGATCGCCATTTCCCCAGCCTCCTCCAGGCCCAGGCTCGTCCCTCCCCCCGGCGAGGGGCACAGGCCGCAGCCTCCTTGCCCGCCCTCGGAACGGCCCACGCCTCGTCCCCCGACAGGCCGCAGCCCCGCCCCCTGCTTTACCTGCTCGC